CCGACCTCTATATAAGTGAGGGTCTGAGCTCTCTTAATTCCATCGTGTCACCGGGCCCGGGTAAAGGAGGGGTAATATGGTTCTTATTATACAATCATGGGTAATATGAGCGTTGTGGTTCAATCATGGTTCAACCTATGGGTTCAACCGATCTGAATCGCTTCCTGAAGTAGTCACGTGGTATCGACAGGCAGCGAGGCTTCGTTTGTCATCGATGACGTCACTGGCCCAAAACGATACAAGCCTCGATACAAGCTTCACAAAAAGCTTCGGGGATTACTCGACACACGCTCCGAAGCCTCGGCGCAATACGTAACATCACTAGTTGTAGCCTTTGTATCCCCCTTGCCAGCAATTCTCTCTGACCAATCAGCTGTCGAGTATTTACACCACTAGTTTAGCATATTCAGCCCGGTTGTTGGCCCGGTAAGAACCTCGATTTTGGAGGGTCAGACAAAAGGTGAAAAAGTAGCCCTGAACCGGAACTACCCCTAGTGGAAAAGCAAAAGAAAACGGGCCGGGTTTGGCACGGCACGCTTAAACCGGGCTACGCGCTGCAGTGGAAATGCGCCATAATACACTCTTTACAGAGTTTAAACGTGTGTTACTTAATGATGACATTTAAAAATGTAGATTTACTTATATACACTTACACAATTTATGTCTTTCAATATTTTTTATTTTCAGCAGTTAAAAGGTGATACAATACGAAAACATTAAGGACAAAACCACCAAACATAGTAAGACCCACAGAACAAAAACAGACAAGGACATTTATAAAAACAAGTATGTGTATGTAAATAATTGAGGGTCGTACCTCTTTGTCCAGGTATCCTGCCAACACGTCTGTTTCATTCAGCAGGGTGACGTTACATTTCCCCCTGCGGAGATAAAGAGGAGCATTCAGAGACCAAATTATCTAAGTCACAAATATACAGATTCTGTACAGCTTCAAAGTAAAAAAAAAGTTGATATAAAGACTTACATTACAACATTTTTACAAAATTTTCTGTTTACAAACAATCAAGAATAAGCGCACAGCAGGGGGTTCAAAACTTGTTTCCATGATGTCATGATGGCTTTACTGGATCATGACATTTAGTATTTAAATATGAAAAGATTGATTTACTTATTTCTAGAGGCCACTTTACAAACAAGAATGAGCAAGAAGTGTTTTCGACTTGTGATAAGAGTTAATACCCGTTCCCTGGAGTGGCGCTCAACACTTCATTCATGAACGTTAGTGAGACGGCCAATGCTGTTGTGTTAATCTGCATCGTTTGCTTATGAAACGTATATCTGTTTTTCCTCATTCAAATATTTTCAACGACTTTTTTTCTGATTAAAGGCAGATTTAAAACATTCAGGAAACTTCAGAGCCCATAGTGCAAAATAACATTTGATCCATATGTAACTATCATAAATACAGAAAACCTGATCGTAAGTATTTAAGTAATAATGAGAATAATATGGACATGTGTTGCTTGCTGGTACAGCTGTTTTTGGTTTAAGACAACAGTGGTGTTGGGAAGACGAGGTGACAGTCATTGGATGTCTATTTCTATGCCTAGAGTCTTATATTTTGTTACCTGTGCCTATCTGTTACTATAGTATGACTTGAACATCTATTCAATAAGAGCTGAACAGGATGCTCTCAACTTTCTAAAAAGAACGTTTTCTCTGCAGAGAGAGGACCTAACACTGCCATAACAGCTGGGAATGTCCTGCAGTTAGGGGCAGATAGTAGGTTCCTTCCAACTGTGTATGGCAGGTGTCTGGATTCAGTCTGAATGCAGCTCTGTCGGTAACTCCTGTTGGTGAACGCGTACCGTATGTGAGTAGCAGGTAGAGATTCAAACTGTCGGGACAGGAAGAGTTCTCGGTGTTTGAGCTGGTGCTTCTGTTGTTCAGACGGCGTCGGCTGCTTCGACTCCTCCTCAAACTCTCCTGCAACACACAAACATAATGCACCGTCACAAACTGAAAAGTGTGTGGGAGAGAAACTCCTTCTGGAGGGCACACAGAGATTTTAGCCTTTGCAGACCATTTACATGCACTTAAACCTATAGAACACACTACAGGAGAGGGAATAGGGCCTCTTTAAAAAACAGCCATGTGTTTAAACAAAAAAAAATGAAGGGGCTGCATCATGTGCAAGAAAGACCAAATATGATCGATGCAGTCCAGTTTAAGATATAGATTCATGATTTCGAAAGTTTAATTAAGGTGTATTAACTCCAAATCTAGACTTTAGAACTCTGGAAATAGTCACAATAAAAAGAAAATTACTCTAAACAAACAATTGCAAGATTAGAGTTGGATGATGAGGCAATATATTACACAAGATAACAAATGTGTCTACCGTTAAAGATTCATTTTTGACAAGAATACGGAAGTTTAGGTTTCAAAGCAGTACTGCCGAGCTTATACCTCAAGCTGCTATGCATATAGACACTTTGATGTAATTCCCCTTTATTTTTGATCCAAGTTAATATCTTACTTTGCTTTTATTGCACTTGCTTCCTATTGCAGCAGTTAAGATTGTATTCATCCTATGTTAAGCACTTTATAAGAGTTCAAAGGTGGCAAATAATCCGGTAAAACAAAAATTGGTTCCGTGTGCTCGATGGTGCTCGGTCTTCAATTGAGACTCATTTGAGAAATAGATATTTTAAGCTCTGCAATTGATCTTTGCTACCCAATACAATGCAGAGGCCTAGAGACATGGTTATTAATGGACTTACTGTAAAAACAATAAGACTTTCACATGATCAAACCCATGTGACACCCGCAAAATGAAGCCATAGGCAGCTGTGTGTGTGTGTGTGTGTGTGTGTGTGTGTGTGTGTGGCCACTAGATTGCGCATTCCTAATTTCAGGCGGGTGAGTAATTTGTTGCAAGCTGGAGGGGAGGGACTATATCGCTCCATCTCGGTGGACTCCGCCCCTGCACTCAGCCACAGGAAACCCTGTCAGTGAGGGCAAGAGAGAGACACTGGAGAGATAGTGAACGAGAGAGGGACGTTACTTTAAGCCACACCCCTTTTCTGTTAACCTCTCAACCCTCCCCCTCCTCCTCCTGTCCGGTTAGTCCCTGCCAGACAAAGTAGGAAACCCTGTGTACCAAACCTGAGGCGCCCATCCCC